ATATATCCTGGTAATAGGTGCCTATATACAGGTACCTCATGCAATATTAATGTGAGAATAGGTTCGGGAACGTCAGTCTGGGTTAACTGATTGAACACAGTGGGTCAATTTGAATTTTTCAAATAACCTATAGTAGGGCAGCTGGAAAATTCTGAAATAACTCATACTACATGGTAAATTGTGCATAAAATAATTCCCTAAAAGTTTTATAATGTTTTAAAAATTATTTTGTTTTCTTAAGATGTCTCGCTATGCAGTTCAGACTGGCCTTGAGCTCACTTTGTAGCTCAGGCTGGGCTTGAACTTGCAAAGATTCTCCTTCCTCAGCCTCCCGAGTGCTAGGATTACAGGCATGTGTCACTATGCCTGGCTACAAATAGTCTTTTAATGATGTCAGATAACTGTCTTGTAATTGGTTAGAGTTTAATTACAATTTAGTAATTACATTGTGCATCTTTTATCTCCAGTGTATCCTGTAACTAGAAATAGATCGTATACCATTGGAAAACAGAATGAAACAGGATGCATATAGAGGGCCCTTTAACTGTCTGGTTAAGCAGAATGCACAGATTTGCCTGTTTCCAGCAAGGCCAGTCCTCATCTCCACATCCTATGCAATGGCTCAGTGCAATTCAATTTGTAATTTTATTCCCCAATCCTTGAAGGTAGTGCTTGTTTTCAGAGTTTAAGATAGAGTTTTCTGTCTCCCATTTCAGAACACCTTGTTCTGAAGAATCATTTTATATTCGTTTCTGAAGTATAGACTCTTAACTCCTAGCACATTTGACAAAAGTGTCAAATAATGTTGTGAAAAACTTGGAAATATCTGATACATAAATTAGTAGTTATATAAAATGAAGTTATGTAGACGTGTATTAAAGGCATATTTACATCAGAAAAGTACTTTGGGAAATATGTACATTAAGGCACCAACTTTGGGTCTGTTTGTGTTTGGCTTGCTCTTAGTTTTCATTTTAACATTTGAAGATCAGGGCTGAGCAAATGGCAGAATGGCACCTCTCTTAGAGTCATGTCATTCTGTGTGCATGGACTGCCCTCAGGGATTCTGCTTTCTTATTTTGCAAGTTCAAAGTCCTGTTTTACTCTTTGTGTGAACTGCCTTTACCGTTTATGCAAGTTGTGTGTGAAAAATCAACCAGTCACTTTATATTTGCAATTAACTAGTTGTATTAAGTATTAACCACTCAAAGTGAACTTGGAGAACATTTGGAATTTAGCTCGCTCTTCACGGATATTCTTTTTAATCTTTTACTAATCTACTTTAAGATTTTTTCCAGTAAAACATTCATTACTGTTCAATAGGTTATACTCCTTGGTTTTATAACTGAGTGTCCAATTCTCCTCCAGCCTAGGGTGCTTTTGGCTGCTCAATACAACCCCAGAATGCATGTGCTAATGGTAGCTCTAAACTAGCATAGGGCATATTGGAAAAAACTCATGGCACTGGTAGGAATAGGGCATATTGGAAAAAACTCATGGCACTGGTAGACTGAAGCAGGTGCTTCTTCTCCTCAACAGCCAGAGGGAAGACATGATAACCCAGGGCCATGTGACACTTCCACTCTTGCAAAGACACCATGCTCAGCTAACAAAGTCCGGTCAGTCATAGCCGCTAACATTCTGCATATGTCCTCCTTGTGGCCCTGCTCTAGTCTAGTAGGTCTGTGGAGCATCTCAGGATTTTGCAGTGTCAGGAATAAAGTGAAAGGCCTTGGGATCCTGTGCCTCTCTTTCTAGCACCATAAAATCTTTCTTGGGTTTCTCACTTTTGTCTTTTATCTCTTTACTTTCCCATAGTAATTCTCAATAAGTATTTCCACAAGGAAAATAAAAAAAAAAAAAAAACAACCTTTTTAGATAAGAAACTAAGCTGCCAAAAAAGATTAATCTTCTCCTGTAGAGAGAGCTCAAGTGTTAGAAAGATGGTGCCAGATCTTGTGAGAAAATTTCCCTGAGGATTAGTAATATCTGCATGTGAGGATTAGTCCGTTGGTGTTTGTGTTAGTAATTACCTTGACAACAACAGCCAAGAAGAAAAAGAGGCTAGATTTTTATAACAAAGTAGATGAGTTGCAGAATTCAAACAAAGAATATAGAGAGCAATAAAAATTAACTGGAGTCAGTATAATACAAGGCAAAATAAATTGCCAAAATAAGCAAATTACAACTTGACCTAAGCAAAACACCCTTTTGTTTATTGCACATCCACTAGAGTTAGTCCCACTCAAATAATTATTTAATTGAATCTTTTGTTTGCAGAATTCTTGTGATTTAACATCCTTCTAAAGATAAGCACAACAAAATCTTAGAGATAAATAACTTAACCTCACATCAGAAAATCATTACCAGTTGCTATTGGAAATTCTGTGCTAGAATTGGCATTAGAAACCTGCCTTTTTCTGCCTTGTGGTATTATTCTTTTTGTTCTAACACACTAAAAATGATACAGTCCTATACATTTGCCTAATATAACACTTTTGTGTTACTCTTGGAATCTTCCTTTATATGTATACATACACATGAAAAATATAATATGGTCTGTCATGTTATTGTCAGCACAGCATAACTGATGAACCAAATTCTCTAGGTCAGATAGATTTGCTTAGTCTTGTTCCACATTTCCTTCTCTGAATGAATGGTTAGTTATTATGGTTTGTGTTTGGATGGACCTCCAAAGCTTCATGCAATCATGGACGTGGCTGAGTCTGGTGTTCATGATTGGTTCATTGTCTGGCACTCTGATTGGTGGTGTGAGTGCTGCACCCTCCCAAGGGTGGAGCTGGCATTCAGTGTAAGCACGGGAAGAACTCGTGTCTTTCCTCTTTTTGCTTTGTTTGTACTTGCTGTTTATAGTCCCCATGAGTGGTTGCCCCTCCATGCCATTCTGCCTTGGAGCAGTTGAGTATGGATTGAAATCTTCCAAACAGATAAATAAACCTTTCCTTCCCTGATTTTGGCATCAAGTATTTTGTCTAAGCAATGAGAGAAAAGTAATCAAGACAGGAATTCTGCATCACTTTTATTCTCCCAAACCAAGGCATTGCTGTTGTTTTGGACTGGATAGTTCTTTGTTGTGGGGACCTGAATGTTTACTATAGGAGTCTCAGCAGCAAGCATGGTGTTAATCTACTAGATACAGGCACATAGCACTGCCTAATGAGAAGATCCAAAATGTCTCCATAGATACTGCCAAGTATCTGCAGAGTGAAGTTGTCTCAGTAGAGAACCACTGTTCAAAAGTCATGTGAGGAACTATCAAAGAATGTAATCTCTCACTCAGTTTCTTTCCTGAATAATAGGAATTCCAAGCACTCTATTGCTTAGGCATTGTGTTAGTCAGAATGAGACAGACTTATGCTGTAATAATAATGCCCTAACTGCTTACCACAGCGAGCTGTTCTCTTGTGCAGCTGTTCTCCCTAAGGTAGCTTGCCATTCCAGATGGCTTAGGTCAGTCTTCCAGCAGCGCAATACCCACAAAGTGTTTTTGTGATCATTACAGTAGGGAAAGATCGAGAGCATCAAGAGTCATGCATGCAGTACTAAATATGTTCCTCAGGAATGGCATGAGTTACTTCAGCTCACACCTTAGTGAGCAAAGCATGGTTGATTTGCCATGTCTAGCTTTGAAACAGAGGGATGTTTAGCTCTCCATTCCTAGAAGAGAATCCTGGTGAGCATCAGTAATGTGTACCATAGTTATCTAACGGCTTTGTTTGAATGTCCTATAATGACCTGAGTTAAATTCTAGGAGGGATGATTCAAGTGAAATTTCAAATGTAGTATTTAGCCATTGGTTCTGGAGCGAATACATACATGTGAAGTAGTAACCAAACTATATTATGCATGTTATGTGTAATAAATTATAAAGATATGTCTCAAATTTAAATATTGTAAAATATTTACATTTTTGTGATTTTTTTTACATGATATTATCTTTCAATTAAAAGAGTGTGATAGATACCTATGTTTTTAAAAAGTGCTCCACATTTAAATGCTTTGCTCTTTTTGGCTAAATGTATTCCTACATGCTTTATAGTTTGTTGCTATTTTTGAATAAAATTTCCTCCTGCTTCATTTCTGACTACTACTAATAATATAAAATATTGCTTTTCATATATTTTCCTTCACACAATTGTCTTGATCTGATTCATTTAAGCATTTCACATATCTCATGTACTCAGATCTCTTAGTGAGATGGTTATCATGACTTAGGCTCTGAGCCATTGCTGTGATGATCTGGGACCTTGTTAGAAATCCTAATCCTTGGGTTCAACTAAGACCTAATGGGTAAGGAGCTCTGTGCGTCGGGCTCTGCATTAGGAAATAGGTGCGTAATTATACTTGAAAAAATGATGACATTTTCTCTTTCTTTTTTTTTTTTTTTTTACTAGTTGTAATATTGCCATTTCTTTTCTTACCTAGCATCAGATGAAACATAAAGAATAATACTAGGTGCTAATGGAATTAATCTTGATTTTGATTTTATTTAAGAGAAGTTTATTTTTGGTTAGTTTCTGCTCTTTGGCATATTTGAAAGGCCTTGTACTATTTGAAGTTTTTATACTTAGAGTATTAAGCATGAATGACTGATATATTTAACAAATGTTTTTCAGAACTTACTGAGATAATTATAGGAGTTTTGACCTGTAATTTTCTAGTATTTGAAATGGGTTTAATGTATTTTATGGGTTCGTAAAATGAATACAACTTGGTGAACTTATTGTAATATGCTACTAAATTTGGTTTGCTGTTGCGTAGTATTTCCTGGCATCCTAGTTAATTGAATTATTTGTTTTCCCCAAGCCAGCAATAACAATACTCTTTAATAATAGTATTAGTCCTCAGATCCTTAAAAATCCAGTTTTTCTTGTGTTGGCTTGAAAAGTTAATTGAATTTTAACACTATATGTTTAATGCAGTTCCTTAGACTTAAAATTAGAATGACAGTAACAACTGACCCCATTTGTTCTTGTTAGAATCCTACCAAATATCTGGCTGGGTAGCTGCCCTCGCCAGGTGGAACATGTAACCATCAAACTGAAGCATGAATTGGGGATTACAGCTGTCATGAATTTCCAGACGGAAGGGGATATTGTCCAGAATTCCTCAGGCTGTAACCGCTACCCAGAACCTATGACTCCAGACACAATGATTAGACTGTATAAAGAAGAAGGCTTGGTCTACATCTGGATGCCAACACCAGATATGAGCACTGAAGGTAAGATCAGAAGTAACACTCTGGCTCTTGATGAACGTTTCAGAGAAACCATTGCTGACTAGCTATCGATAATTGAATATCTAAAATACAAGAGGTAGAAAAGCAATTAATATAAGACTTTAAGCTTAATTGATTTAATATGTATCTTGTGACATTTGAGCTAGTATTTTGTGTAATATGATTAATTCACTTATTAGATGTGCATTTATTGTGTATGTGGTATTATACCAGTGGCTGATTACACAGTGATGAAGACAGATAGATATAACTCTTGTCCTCATGGAGCTTATTGTCATATAGGGATGGGAAATATTAATCAAATAAGTAAATAAAAATTTAAGCCCACATGTCAAAACTAATTACAGTGCACAGAAGAATGGATGTGAGAGGCATGGGTCACATGTGTGAGAGGGTGATGGCCTAGGAGGAGCTGCATTCTGTGAAGGGGCCCAGGGAGACCATGGGAAGGCCATGGCCCGTGGGGTAGGCAGAGCTTTGACATAGAGATGTGGAGGGAGGAAAAACATAGACCATGACACAGAGGCATGGGATTTAAGTGGCGTGATCTATAGCTCATCTTGCTTATTTGGGAAAATGTAATATCCTGATAGCCTGTGAAAGGATTGGAGATAATGATCTACTGTTGAGAAGACCAAGTTTTACTGACAGTAAACTTGATAGTATCAACATATATCAGCAGGGGGAAGCAGAGAGCTGTGGAAATGGCACAGGACACAGGCATTTGGTGACTTGCTATTCTGGGGGAAATAAGGAACATTTGCCTTGCCTTGGATCCAGATTGTCAGCACTCTTCTCCACAATGTATATTATGCATCAAACACTCCTAAGCAATTTACATACATTACGTCCTTTAATTCTCCCACCAAGATGCTGGACAGTTATGGTTATCTCTAGGTTGCAGAATAAGAAATTGAGATACATAATGTTAAATAACCTGATCAGATCATAGAACTAGAAAGAACGGCTTGGATTTTAGGGTTGGCAGCCTGACCCAGAACACTGCTTCAGAAACCATATGATGAAGCTGCTCTCTGAAGCCTCACATTTACTCTTCATGTAGATTCTATGTGCTCACATGATTTCAGTGCCTCGTGTTCATGATCTGCTGGAGCTGTGCAAAGTCCTGAGTTGCAGACGAGATAGCTTATCTCCCTAGCAGCCAATGGTCCACCATTGGGAATGTCTTGGGTCACTTGGCACTCTAAGTTGACCTCCCGATCAGGCTGGACCCCTCTGTGCATCTTTCTGAACAGTCACTGAGGGTGGGGTATAATTTTTTGCTGTTGAAGTTAAGGAGAGTTATTGACAGTTTGGTTCTTCTGCTTGGTAATTTGATCCAAGAAAGCATCATTTAGTCTTAAGAGCACTGCCCTTTCTCAAGAAAAAAATTTCTTTAAAAAATCAAAAGTAACAACCAAAACTGTGAACTTCATTTGCACAGAAAAGCATTGGCTAAATGTAGGTTATACTTACCCTGCCTAATTTGTTTTTCTGGTTTCAAAACCGAAAGAATTATTAGATGAGTGTAACTATAGTTTCTTGAAAGCATTTTGATTTTAACTACTTTGATTCTAATTTGGTAGCACCCACTGGTGTGGCATAGGTGACAGCCTGGAAGACATCAGTCCATGTCATGTACTTAGTGTGGGAAGGCCTTGATAATAAGTAACTTGCTCCATAGTTTAGGGGCCTGAGGGAAAGGATCACCAAGAACCCATTATACTTCCACTCAAAGCGCTTTTTGAAGCCATTGGGTCACCTAACGATGCAGCAGTGAGAGAGGCAGTACCACCTCCTGGATGACTGTAAATGACACCTTCCACTTGAGACAGTGAAATAAAGGATTTCTCTGGTTCAGGCTAATGTGGAGGAGTAATCAGTAATTGGTCCAGAGTAACAGATGAACTTTTTTTTTTTTTAATCGGTAGCGGGGATTGAACTCATGACCGCTTGCTTGCAAGGCAGGTGCTTATGCCACTGAGCTAAATCCCCAGCCCTGCTTGAACTTTTTGCCAGTAGATACATGTGTGTGGTTCACAATGATACCACAGTGAATACATAGATTAACCTAGCCGAATATTTTTAGAAGTTTAGAAGAAAAAAAGCCATTTGGAAGCCATTTGGGCCGCAGCATAATACTATCAGCCAAAGTCCGAGAATTGGACAGTATTTTAGGTGTGACTGCCACCATGGATTGTCACAGACCTGTTAAAATAGATTGTGCTATTGATTCATACTCTTGTACACTTTGTCACATGCAGAAGGGTGGTTTAGATTTTTAATTTTTTCTTTAAAGCTTGGTTTGTCTCTTTCAACCCAAGAAATGGAAATCTCCCAAACCCAGCACTGACTTAACAAAATGAACCAAATCTGTTCGTTTAAATATCCTTGATGTAGAACGGATTCGCATTGAGCTTTGGTCTCTTTTCACCCAGTGCCATGTACAGCAAATGGTGGAGGAGTGCCCCTTCTGGAGTCCTTCGCCACCCTCTGATGTCACAGTCTCACTTCTTTTCTATCACTGAATTGAGCACTTCTATTATTAAAGACATTGATCTTGGAGCCAGACTATCTGGGCTTTAGCCTTGTCATTACTGAGTGGCTGTGTGACATTGGCAGGCTAGTTCCTGCACTGGAAAAGTAGCATAGTGATTTTTATTTCACTGGTTTATAACAATGGATAAGACATTTGACATGAAAAGATTTTGACAATCACAGAGTTTGTGCTATATGATTAGTCCCAAATCTTTATGAGTCTACCAAATGATTTTGTAGGTAAAATGAATCTTATCTGTAATAGGCTCCAAAGATGGCAAAGAATATATACCCAAATAAAATAATATTTTCTGCTCCTGGAGTTAAAAATAAGGTGGGATAGGTGGTGGAAAGGCTGAAAGTTGTGCCGTGGATTACTTCTTCCGCTGTCATCCTTTGCTGCAGTGTACATATAAGGGACCTTTGACTCCTTCCCTGTCTCAGGCCCTAATGCCTCAACTTGCTCCAAATTATCCAGCAAAAGCTCCATTGCTTCTTCTCACTACCTTGATATGATCGTGCAAGCTTCTATTCACCCCAGAGTTGGACTAGTCTGGAGCAAGTGTGGACCACAAGTTAGATTAGAGGGTGTAGCAGTATCTCAAATCACAGATATGGGTATGGTTCTGCTTTTGTTTGGTTTTTATCTATGCACTTAATGATGCTTATTGAGCGTCTACTGAGATCCAAGGCTTGTTTTAAATTGCATCGTGAGAAACACAGATGGTGGAATGTTTTGTTTGACCTATATAGGTTTTAGTTTTTCAGTTTAGTTGCTAGGATTTAAAATATAGACTATTTTACATAAAAACTATCTGGATTGTTGCCATATCTTAAGGTACTGCTGTTTTTAAGAGTGGAAACTTCATATCCATTGGAGGTGTATGTGGAGCCTGTATGTAGTGAATCTAGAATTTGATTGCTGTGGTTGACTTTGACTCTACTGGGCAGGGTGTTCATGGTGAGCCCTGACCTGGGGCCCTCCTGTTGTTCCCTGATGGGTTATACATTAGCTTAGGCTCCTTAAGATGGCTTTAAAAGTCAGACATGGACCTCTTGGGTGCAGAGAGTTCCTCTAGGTAAGGATGGAGGTGCTACAGATCAGAGAGGATATGGCTGTCACATAGGAGTAGGAACAGCAGCATGAGTAGCTAGGTAGGCATAGGGGTACTGATTCAGAGTTTTGATCAACAAGATGGGGCATGGAAAGTACCAGTATCCAGGGAGGTTAGGGAAGGAACTCAATACAGTGATCAAATCATGCCTTGGTGATTAGCTCAGCAGCATAAGCGCCTGCCTGGCAAGTACGAGATTGTGAGTTTGATTCCCGGTAAGAAAAACCCCCCAAAACAAAAAAACATTTACCAGTGATCAAATCAGAGGTATTAGGGTGAAAGTGGCTGGTTTTGAGTGGGTACTGAAAGAATAACTTTTGGCAAATCTCTTTGCCTCACTTCATATAAAAATTGTGGACAAACATAGTACCGACCTCATAGTTGTTAAAGAGTGGTACAAATGAGCCTTTTCATGCAAAATGCTTAGAACAGCAAGCGGAAAGGTCTTGATGAGTGTTATTCATCATCAGTCAAAGCAGGGTACAGTCGCTAGAGGTCAAAATAAAAAAGGGCTCCTACTGAGGTCTGGCTGAGATGGTTAGATGCCTAGTGGTGGGTTCTTTTTTTGCAGTCCTTCCTAATTATTTATTTATTAGTAGCCTAAATATTTGATGATCCTCAGGTGGGATGGTTGAGTGGTAGGACAAGGCCACCAGGGACTGTGTCCCATTGGTGAGACTGGTGTGAGGCTGAAGCTTCTGTGTTGGCAGCTGATTTGCCTTCTGGAAGGACACATATGTGAGCAGAGAGCCTCAAGCTAAGATGATTCCCTTTTTAACTTGTAAAGTACATGCATGTCTCTCAAATAATCTTTTATAGGTATGGAGAGGGGAGGGGAAGGTAGTGTGTCATTTAATCTGCTCAGGGGAGACTGGTCCTTGGGGACCTTCTGCCTGAAGAGCACTAGAGTAGAGCTCCTGCCTCGGTCTGGAGAAGGTCTTGTGTGCATGCTGGGCCCACAGATGCTGTATAAGATGAGCGCCAGCACAGGATTCTAAGTCCAGCAGCTCCTACTGTCATTGGCCACCATGCTTTATTCTTAAAGTGGGCATTTGATGACAGCCTACGTTAAAGCCTTCTTATTTATTTCCTGCCAAAGTACGTAGTATTTGGAGAGGCAGCCGTGGCAAGCAACTTGTCAACAGACGCTACTGATGGAAGGAACAGGATAAAGCCATGCATCGCATAGCTGTCAGTAGGATTCTCTTCCCACCCAGAATCTCTAGAGCAAACCTGACACACTACTGCGTGGACAGAAGCCCTCCAGTTGTACAATAGAAGCCCATCTCTATTAGGTCAGTCACATACCTTGGGGGTTTTGCCTTCCCTGGTCTCCAACTCGATCCAACTTGAATTGCTGCCCTAGACCATTGTGAAGTGCCTCATTGGCACATCTGATGCCCTCTGTGCCCTGAGGCAGCTCCAATATATTTCATACCTCTAGGAGAGCACTGTGATCAAGGCCAGCTCATCCTCCTCTAACATCAGAACACCCTGAAGCCAGATGTGCAGATTTATATGGATTAAAATTCATGGCCCAGTTCGGACATAAGACCTCGATACACATGAGCGCTGTTGTGTCCCTAACTCAGATGTCCTCAGGGACAGACAGAGAGTATGAGAGTACAGCAGCACTAAGGAGAGAGTGACAGAGAGATCTGAGGAGGGTGTCGCATTTAGTGCATTTCTGTGGAAAACATTTCGTGTAACCTGCTGGGTGGCACCTGTAGCTTTAGGTGTCTGCATGAGAGGGACTCACAGAGCATGGCAGGAAGACTGGAGTGCAGCGCTGGCTTCCCTGCAGCCTCTCTGCACCTGTCTCAGAACGCTGTGAGTGCAAAGCCAACTAAATGGTGACGAAGGTGGCCTTTGGGTCACAGTGGGTTCCTTGATAAACTCTATCCTTCGGTGGCGCTGATACCTGATTCCAGTATGTTGTCTTGGCTTTTTCGGGGCACTTGCATTTCAAAAGAGGGATTTAAAGAAAGATGTCTTCAGTTACTAGAGTGGCTCTCATGAAAGAGTTCAGGCCTCATGGAGGTCAGCAGGAGAGATCCTGCATCATCCAAGGGAATGGCAAAGGAATCCACAGTCCTTGGAGTGTTTTTCTCTGCCATTGTGCCCTCTGTATCTAAGGAATACCAATGTGTAAGGAGATAGTTATAATCCAGGGTTCGGCATAGTTTCCCTTTCATTCCCTTCAGAAGTAATTTATAATGATCACCCCCACTCTCCAGCCACATAAAAACTGTAGCTCCCTAAATATCCGTTCAGTGAGACCTGTGAAGAAATACTGGATACCCAGCAGCTCAGGATGACAGTGGCATGTCTCTCAGGTTCAGCAGAGCGCAGCATTACCCTTAGGAGGAGAAGGCATTTGGGTAATCTTATAATTAAATCGGCAGTCAGAGGCTGGTAACACTTACAGTTGTGACTGCCCAGGAAGACAGACATTCCATCAGTATTAGTAACTGCTGTATTGGGGTGGAATAAGTAAGTGAGGGCCGGTTATCCTGTGAGTATCGCTCTAAGCCATTCCATTAGGCAAATGAAAATTAGCATATTAGATTCTGCTTCATACTGCATTTATCCAATCAATAAAAAATGTTGATTCTTTAATCAGTATAGACTTGCTCGTTGTTTTACATTTATCTGGAAGAACATTTCGATGAAGTGAAATTCGGGTGACAGGATTTAACCAGTTGCCTTTGTCATCATTTGAAGCCTGGATCTATCCTTGCAAACTCTTCTGACCAGTGTAAAAGTCTATGCTTGTGACAATGGGTGATACTTGACTTTTCTTTGAAGGGAAATTTGCATCCATGGTGAAGTGACTGAGAAGAGCACTAATATCCAGTGAGCATGCAGGGGGAGCGTTGCCTCTGGAATGCTCTTCTTGCTTTATTATCATTGAATTTGAAACCTGCTTCATTTCTTCCTTTAAACAAAGCAGTTGAGCACTGTTGCATCTCTGCCTCAGTGTGTGTGGCGCCAGGTGTCACCGTGGGCTGGGGAAATGGAGGTTCCATCACTCACACCTGTGTGCTGTGCTTTCTCCCTCGCAGGCCGTGTGCAGATGCTGCCGCAAGCCGTGTGCCTCCTGCACGCACTGCTCGAGAACGGCCACACCGTGTACGTCCACTGCAACGCTGGGGTGGGCCGCTCCACCGCGGCCGTGTGCGGCTGGCTGCAGTTTGTAGTGGGCTGGAACCTGAGAAAAGTGCAGTATTTCCTCATGGCCAAGAGGCCAGTCGTGTACATTGATGAAGAGGCTCTGACGCGGGCACAAGAAGACTTTTACCGGAAGTTTGGGAAGCTTCGTTCTTCCTCATGCAGTCTGTAGCTGGTCATCCTGCCTCCCCTTCCTCTCAGTTTCTTAAGGAGCCTGAGGTTATATGAGTCAAATGACCTAGAAACAAAGATCTTACCTGAAAGGGTCTGTGGGCGTTCGCTCCTGCTCCAGGCTGCCCTTTCTTCTTGGGTTGTCTCTCTGAAGTACCTTACAAATGAAGCTATGGCTGACACATGAGAAGACACCAAAGGCTGGAAAAGGATGTATGTGGTCCCGGCTGCTGCAGGCGGAAGAGTCCCTTGCTTCACAAGTGCTGACTGCACTGTGCTCTAATTCATGACAGCACTTTCTTGTTGCATTGTAGCTCTCTGGAGTGCAGAGGAAAAGACACCAGGTTATATGGTTTTCCTCACTGCGTGGTTACATGTGTATACATTCACATGCACCCAACACACAGACACACACACATGCACGCATGCGCGCGCACCCCCCCCCCCCCCACTGCTTTTTATTGAGCTGAACTGAACTATAGTCATTTCCCAAAGCAGGGAATAAAGGTGGAAACCTAAGAATATGATAGAAGCTCAACAGGAGCAGAGTTTTGCACTGGCTTTGTTTTTGCCTTCTGTTTCTTAAAGTCTACTTCTAGGCATCCCCTCCCTTATCCATCCACAGCCCAGTGGAAAACGTAAGCCCTGTTTCGTTTTAATTGAGGTTTAATCAACACAGATCGCTTGCTCAAAGTCTTATGGCTACTCAGAGATGAACTGGAGTTGTAAATCGTGTTTATTTGACTCGGTGCTGTTTTTAGTACAGCTTGTTTTTTCTGCTGACAGCAGTGAACTCAGTTTTGTCCCTCTCAGGATAAGATCGACCCCTGCAGCAGTGAGAAATGGAACAGTGTTCTGATAAGTTGCTAAAGAATTTAGAGCAGTAATTCTTTTTTGTGCAAATTAATTTAAACCATGGTGAGTTATCTCAAGGCCAGGAGCTGTATTTTTAAAAGAGCCGAAATCTGCAGGTCATTGTTCCACAGCCTCAGTCTGATCCTGGTTCAGTCCACAAGTTAGCATGATACACAGATACTGTGCCCCAGAACATTCAGCTCGATCCCCGAGATTCTACAGGAAATGCTAAGAAGAGCAAGACTTTGCCTTTTAAAGTACACAGCCCAGAAGCGGACCAGCTGTAGTGTAGGACTGCAGGGAACGGTCTGGTGGATTATAAGATGGGAAAGTATGTTTTAATTGAGTCCCTCTGTGGGCTATGAGGTACTCTACCATTTTACCTAGTTCCATCTTCACAATACCCTGCAAGAGAGATTTCATCATCTCCATTGTTCAGATGAGGGTGCTAAAGCTCAGAGAGATTAAATCAGCTGTCCCTTGCCACATGCTGAATAAATGAAATGAGAGACAAAGTTGGTTTGTCTGTGTCAAAACCTACGGTTTTGAAAATTGAGCTGTAGTGCTTACTAAGTTTTCTGTTCTTCTAAAAATGTATACTGACAGGTATAAGAGACTGTGATTTAGGAGGGATGGGGATAAGAGGACACAGACACGTTCCAATAGAGCTCTAATTGGGAGGAGGTGTCTTGCAGTGGTGGCACTCTGGAAGTGACATTTTCTTGAGTCAGAGGAGTCTGGAAGGGAAACATTTCTCCTATGTTAAAATTATAAGCTAGCATTGAGTTTTGGAAAGTCCAGCTCTCTTCCAAAAATAGCTAGAAATAGATCTTATATTCAAGAGCCCACTTAAGATCATTGTGTCAAGTAAAAATATAATTAAAAAGAAAGTATTTTAACTAATATCTGTAAGAATGTGTGTGTGAGATTCCTTAATGTCTAAGAAAAATGCTATGTAATTCCTACTGAAGAGTGGGTTTTTTAGGTGGATTTTCTTTTTCGTTCTTTTTTGCTCTGATAAATAGAATCAGTTTAGGACTATTAAGGAATGTTTTATGATAACCTCCCTTATTTTAAAATCATCTGTATTTTTTGCTAAATAAAAAAAGCATTTAAAAAAATCTCTGTGAACAGTTTGTTATCATCTAATTCTAAATCCAGAAGAACATCACTGAGTTTTTTATTTACAAATAACAGTCAGCTGAGCTAAATTATCTTTCCTTTGTCACGTTCCTGTTTCATTCAACTGTACAAGTTGGCAGTTACATGACAATGACGTCAGAAGTGGGAGCACCACAAGATGTGAGGGCGAAAACTCCAGGAATGAGAAGGAATCAAGTCTGATACGCTGATCTTACCTGTTTATTACCTGTATAACAGCACTTTTTGGGGGAGGGTACTGAGGACTGAACTAAATGTGGTTCTAACACTGAGCCACAAATTAAGCCCATCAGAACTTTTCAATCAGAGTCTTCTCAAAGAAAATCATAAGATTTGTCTCATGGTAAGGACGTATCCAGATTGCATTCTGTCATGGCTTGTTTCTAGATGTTCCCCCAGCCTTGCACTCTAGGTGGGGCTTTTTGGACATGGCTGGGTCTGGGGTATGTGATACTGGAATCCAGGATTTGGTGCTTGGATTGATTCATGGTACAGTGCTAGGATTGAGGCTGCCCCACCCTGGATGTGAGTTCTTCCTGCTCTAAGGGTGGGCAGCCTGGATAGGATATGAGAGACAGACAGACGGACACTGCTTGCTTCTTGATGCTGGCTACTTTCGTTGTCTTCTGCCTGCCATGAGCTCTCTCTCCTCTGTGATGCCCCTCTGCCATGACAGCCTGCGTTGGACTGATTACGGACTGAAACCTCTACATACTGAGTTAAATAAACCTTTTTTTCTTTTAACTTTGAGTATTGGGTATTTTGTCTCAACAATGAGGAAAGTAACTAAGATATTTTCCTTTAGACGTCAAACTTTATCCTTCTCTTATTTGTTTCGTAATTAAGAAAAAAAATCTAAAAAAAGAAAAATAACCTTTCTGTTGACCGGTATTAATGTTATAGCTGAAAATCATTTGACCAGCCTAAAAAATAACAGTGAAAAAGAGTAGCTAGGACTTGGGAAGTGATAGAAAGTAATGGGAGATTTGAAAATAAGTCAGACAGAAAATGAAAATTCATCACATAAGACAAAAACAAACAACACTGAAAAGCTAAAAGCAGAGTCAAAAGTTAAAACTGAAACTATCTTTAAAGATAATCAAATGTAACATTTATTTTACAGAGGAAGCAACTGACTTTTTTCCATAGCAAAAGGTTTTAACTGAGAGCTGGAGGAACAGGGTAAGTTAGGAACACAGTCCGGAGCTTTATGGTGGGATGAGGTGTCATGGGAGAGCTGATGGGAATGAGATAAGGGAGTATTGTCAGTGTGGAAGAATTGAGGGAAGGATTAATGAAAATTGGATAAATGAAAGAAAAATAACTAAAATGAGAAAAAGCAAAAAACAGTGACTTACAAAACATGTAGGTATTTTCTGAGGAAATTGAGGAAAATGGTGTGTCTATGGCAGCAGAGGGACAGAGTCGGGGTTCCATGTCCACATTGGAGGTGTGTGCCACATATGCATGTACTCAGAGGGACATGATTAGATCTTGAAAGGTGTAAAGCCCTGAGCAAATCATGGGGTAGATGTGCAGCTGTTCAATACTTCTAGGCAAGAAATAGAAAGTCTGATAGAGTGTATGACAGGGCTAGAAATACAGGGGAAATATTGATGAACCTACTTCTCACTGTAAAAACGACAATAATTATAAAGGGAAGAGGGAGAATAGTAGTACCAACAACTCCGTTCTTCCCTGCTCTAAGCCGTGATTGCAAGTCTTTCCCAGTTCAGTTAAGGGAAGTGTTCTTCTAGTTGCCTAAGTAGTCTTAGTCTGTTTTCTGTTGCTATAGAAGAAAGAGTGATTTATAACAAAAAGGGTTCATTTTGTCTTGTGCTTGGGAGATTTGGAAGACTAAAAGCATGTGCCAGAATCTGCTTGGTTTCTGGCAAGGACCTCATGCTGCTTCAACTATGGCAGAAGCGGAAGAGTTAGCTGGCACACGTGAAAGAAGGAAAGGGGGGGACTTCCCCACGAGGGCGCTGTCGCAGTGACCCACACACCTCCCACTGGGTTCCGCCTCCGAGCACCAACTCACTGAGGAATTAAAGTTCTAATGCGTGATACTGGGGGGACACACTCAAGTCATAGCAGGTTGTAAAACTTAGAGAAATTCTGTAGCTCTTTAAAATATTACATTTGACCTATCAAAAAAGCTGGACTTACCTATAGACTCTATGCTTTAGAACTTTTTTTTCCTGTATTTTTGAAACAGGATCTCATTACGCAGTTCAGGCTAGACTTGAGCTCACTTTGTAGCCCAGGTTGGTCTTGAACAGACAAGATCCTCTTGCCTCAGCCTCCCAAGTGCTGGGATTATATGCACATGACACCATGCTTGGCTGGCTTTCCTGAATCTTTTTTTTTTTTTTTTTTCTGTACCTGGGATCCAACTCATATACCTTACCTTATTTAATCTTCCCAATAATGCTGCGATCTATTATTATCTTTATTTTACAGCTATGTAAGCTAGAGCTATAGAGAGACTGTGAGTTTATTGTCTGGCAAATAAGACTTTTTACCTCCTGATTTGGTGGAATAAGCTCTTACACATCCACTCACTAAAAACCCTGGACATATTATGCATATTAGTTTGCAAGGGTAGCTATAATAATGTACTAAGGCTTAGTGGTTTAAATAACAAGACTGTATTCTGTTAAATTCTAGAACCTAGAAGTCCAAGATCAAGTCATTGACAGGGTGACTCTTTCTGATGAGTATAAGACTAGAATTACTGTCCTTTCCAGCAGTCATGGCATTTCCTGGCTTCCACAAGCATTTGCCTGTTCTCAGCCTTCATCTTCACACAGAGTTCTCCATGTGTTGATGTCAGTGTCCAGATTTCCTGTACTTTCTGGACATCAGTCACATTAGAGGAGGACCCACAGCCGTCTACAGTGTGACTTCATCTTAAATAACCACATCTGCTTTCCTAATCATCTTTCCTAATAATCTCACACTCTGACACTGAAGTAACAGATTATAACTTCAATATATGAATTTTTTTGTAGAGGAAGAAATAATCTAACTCATAACATTACTTAAAGCCTATAAGAGTGAAAAAGGGGTCAGATTTAGAGGTGAGTGAAAAAAGGAACAAATGGGCCCAATTTCTCATTTTTACAGGTTTATCTTGTGAGGGAACACTACTAAAAGTCAAGAGACAGACAGAAAATTGGAACAATTTGAATAATAGACAAGATGAATCCCTATAGAGTTTTTACTGTATCAGATAATAAACCATTCTTAAAGGAAATACATAAAAGCCAGGAACAAAAATTGCTGTCACAAAAAAATCAATTCAAAGTGGATTAAAGACTTAAACATGAGATTTGAAACATAAAGCTCCTGATAGAAAATATAGGGGAAGAGCTCTACAACATTAGTATAAGCTGTGATTTTTGGATTTTATAGCAAAAGTAGAAACAAGAAAATCAAAAATAAGCAGATAGGTTTGCATGAAGTTAAAAAGTTTCTGCTTAGCTAAAGGAAACAACAAAATGAAAAGAAAGCCTAAAAAATGGAAGAAAATATTTAAGAACCATATGCTGGAAAAATAATATTTAAAATATATAAGAAACTCAACTCGAAAGGCAAAAAGACAAATAGTTCAATTAAAAATGGACAAAAGAGCTTGCAAGACATGCCTCTAAAGATTTATAAATAGCCAAAAGGTCTCCGAAAAGGTGCTCACCACCATTAATCATCGTGGAAGTAGAAATCAGAACGATAATGATAGATCATCTCTTATTTGGTAGGATGGCTATAAAGAAAAAAGTACTATGACATATTTGGACTTGTTTGTACATGATTAATTTTTATTAAAACCAATTTTGCCTTTTTTGTGATTTTTTTCTATTTTTTGTAATTATGCCTTTCCCTTTATAAAAACAAAAACCTTCATAATGATCTATGTCCACTGGCCTTTATGGCTCTTTAGTATAATATAATTATGAGTTGTTTTAGATATATTTTGTCATTTTCTTTCTATGTTCATGGCTTACAGGGCAAGCAAAAAAAATGTTGATGGGACTAATCTTTATTAGTGATTTATTCATGATTATGTCCCCATCTCATTTTCCATTTCTTCTCTCTTGGCTTCCATTATTGCTGAGAATGCTATGCTTCATAACTCCATGGTTCTTGTGAGCATATTATTTCTTTTTTTTTTTTATTTAAAGAAAAGGAAACGAAAAAAAATACATGGAGATAAAAAAAAGGGTAGAAATAATACTAAATTACAGACAAACAAAAGGTAAGAAATTGCCGGTTGATAAGTTACAAATTGTCATCTTCGAAATGGCTGTTCAGGTTATAGAATTAAAGTATTTAGAATGACATTCAAAAAAGTGACCCTACAAACCATTCTGCTCTATGGTCGAACAAAAGCTCTGTAATATGATTATTTGTAAGAAGCTAGAGACAGTTAGATAAGGTAGATCTCCAGTGGACTTGTTAAATTGTTTTTTATTTTTATTTTTTTTAAATGTTCTGTTCTGTTTTGATATGGTTAACCTTACCCTCTTAGAGATGTAAAACAAATAGGTGGGACTGATAATCATATTACGGAGCATATTATTTCTATTCCTCTGAAACTCTTGTATCCTCATAAGATACATTGTCACATCTCATTTTGCTTTAATTTATTTATCAATATAATTCCAAAAACCTTTTGTCTTGCTGAAGTATCTTATTGGTTGGTTATCCTTCTGATCTACTCATGGCTACAGGTAGATTTTTATCTCCAGATTTTATATTGTAATTTCTACTCAGATGTCAGGAGGAAGAGTGTGTTTGCATTTTAAACCAGGATTTTCTGAATCCTCACCTATACCAATAACCCTCAAATTGCAATCCTTGTTCTGAAACTCTTTTCTGTTTTCTGACTCCCTAACCCAGTTTTCTTTCCTGAGCTTCTCTCATGATACGCCTACCCATCAAACTTAGCGTTCCTTCAGTCAGATCTTCTTCCTTTGGGCAAACCTCCCATACTTTCATTATTAGACTGTAGTGACTACATCCTCCCAGTAGGTGCTGAGGTCAGAATACAATGTTACTTTTGTCATCTCTCTTACATTTATCTCACCCCTCATCATTCAACAGATCTTTTCAATTTCCCCTCCTAAATGACTCTGAGCTATGTCTGCTGCACTCTGTCATCTCTGACCCAGGTCATTAAATCCTTCTGAGCACCCTGATGCATACATAGTTTTTAAATTAACTCTTTTCCCTTCTCTGTTTCATATTGCTACTCATTTATACCCCTTTGCTTTACCATTCTTATTTTAAAATTTATTTTCACTTTGCCATATTATCTGATCAATTATAGATTATTTCTGATTCCTTTTGGAACAAAAGGAATAAATAGATATAGAAATAAAATATTTGCCACGTTGAAGTACTTGCACAGTCTTGAGGCTGATATTATGTACACTGCTGGTATAAGTGTCAAAGATGAAATGTCATATATTTTTTCAAATACTTTTTTGTGTAATTTTTATTTTAAAGAGGATAAAACCCACAAAATAAAACAGAATAAAGCCAATAAAAAAGCCAGTGTAAGTGGCACAGGATTTCAAAACAATGTGAAATCAATAGTGGTTACCATAATGCCTCTTGCTACCTTCAAAATGGCTGCCTATACCTTCAGACATGGTAAAAATCAAACTAAACAGAACATAACCAATAAAAATGAAACAATGAATGCAATAAAGGGCTTCAAACAAGGTAATATTAAATCC